TTTTACCCATGTTACAGCATTTTATATCCATTTTCTTTCCTGTGTTTATCTCAGCAGCCCAGGAGTGATGTTGATTAAATTTGGACATTCAGACACGATGACACATCATTTATAAACCCGTGAACTGGAACCAAGCACTGCCACAGAGAAAATGAGCTCTGCTAAATGCAGCTAAAAAAGATAATTACATTATTGCACCTATTGTCCCAATTATTTATGACGCATCTGCAGTGTCTTAAGATTTGATTATGAATTTTATGTCTGCTTAGTGCAGCTGACAAGGAGGCTATTACAGAAAGAGGTGACTAGATGGGCTCTAGGCTCTCTCTTGTCCTTGAGATATCCTCCTGCATCTGCTTGTAGCTCTCACAAACAGCAGCAGCGCAACTCAAACTTGCGGCTCAATATAAACCACAGAGCTGACCAAAGCATTTCCACTCCAGGAATAGAAAGGAAACCACAAACCTATTTCAAACACCCCAGTTTCTTTATATAGAAGTGAGCACACAGACATTCATAATCATGTCAGCAGTTATAAATGTGCATTTTATGTGTGCAGGACATAAAGTTTGGCAAGCAACCTTTTATTGACGTGCAACAGAAAAGAGCACCTTCAGAAAGTAAAGCCGTTTAGGAAACCCGCAAACAAAGACATTTTGAGATAAAAAAAAAAACTGAACAAGCGGCTCTCAGCTATATGATTCTGATTCCTGGGCTTTTACACGGGGAAGATCACTGCTAACATCCTTGTGAACTGTGCCCCTACAGTCACAGCTGGTAGCTTCTGAAAACTGGTGATACCGAAAATCACTGCCGACCGGAGGACAACAAATAGATAAAGATGGAGGAAGGGAAAATAAATTCACTGATTACAGCCTCACACAGTGTAAATATCCAAGTGGACCTTAACCGAAACACAGAATATGAACAAAAGAGCGTTTAGGTACGATCTAGTTGATGGACAGTAGACTGAAACCTGGAGGAGTTAAAGGCTCTTTTGTTAACGTCTCCACCAGAATAAGGTTTATTTGCTAAGAAATGCTTTTGCTTAATGGATAATTTGGATAATTCAAATATACTTCAAATATCCCACTGCGTTTCCTTAGTTTAATATGAGTGTACGTTGTCTCCGCTCCAGATAATAGACCGAGACCGACCGTTAGTGAGCTGTGGCTGCTAACCTAACGGACAGTTGGTTTGGTTAACTTAAGCTGTCAACAGTCATGACAAATACATAAAGAAATACCAGTCTATGAGGTAAAAATAAATAAAATAAAATAAAAAGGAGACAAAGCGGCTCACCATGTACAGCGTGAAGGGGAAACATAGCAGAAAGAGCCAGATGTAGAGATGTAAAGCGTTGACGAACGTATTCTGATCGGGGTCGTAGTACCATCCGCCTGTGATTGAAGCCCAGACCCCCTGCCTCAGGATCTGCAAAGTCTGCGACCCCATGTTGTTTTATCCCCTCCGATGAATCCAGGCGGAACCGACCGACACAACAACCGGGGTGACACGCTGGGGCTAGTCGTCGTTCAACATGACAAACGGCGCTCTGTTTTCAGACACTGGCCTGAAAATCCCCTCTGCAGCCATCTTCTCTCTGCAGCTAGCCAGCCAGCTGGGGCACTGTTCAGTCCTCCACTGAGGAAGACTGCTATCCCACCACGCCCTGCGAGGAAGTTCTTCTTCGTGGCATCGGTACTGTTTACATTATATATAAGACGTATAAGCTTTGTGTCTTCACCCTTCTGGTTTTTACTCGCTGTCCTTATTGGAAAATTATATTTTTCAGTGAGTAGGCATGTTTATTTGATTGTGACTCAACAGGGTGATGGCAGAGAGCATAAACGTATGAAATAAAAAATTTAAAATCAGCCACATATATGGAGCTTTATACTAAATATGACTAAATGGCGACACCTGTCGGTTAAAAAGAAATACCCGCTACATTAAGAATGCAAAATGGTACGCGAATTGTCTCCAACTAACAAAAATCCTGGTCCCACATGGTGAAATATGGCATGTCTGTTTTTCTGTGGTAACTAGTCAAGGTGGGGTGACCTCCAACCATTTTTAATATATATGGTGTTGTAAAAAAGTAAGAAGCCTTTTGTTAAATCATGAATTAACTGCACATTTTTTAGTTCAATTTCACTACTTATACCCAGGTCTGATTACAGCCAGACCGGACAAATTTAGAAATCACCAAAATAAAACCTATTTGACAAACTGAAGTAGGTTAAAAGATCTTAAAAAGCAACATATCATGTCATGATCTAAAGGAACAACTGAGAAACAA